TACTTTCTTAGATTTACGCGAATATTTTACATCGTCTATACATGTATGTATGTCAGCCCTTCTTAACGCCCTACTGCTGAGCACGGGCCTCCCTTCAATATGAGGGGGATCAGGCCATAGTCCACCACGCTGGCCAAGTGCGGGTTGGCAGACTTCACATGTCTTTCGAAAACTTGCTTGGTTCTCTCAGACATGCAGGTTTCCTCACGATGTTTTTCCTTCAACGTAAGGCAAGTGGTAATCATGTTGAAAATGATTCGCACATGAAAATATCAGAGGTGCGAGACCCGGGATTTGAACCCGCTTCACTCGGTTACCCAAGCGAGCGAGTCACCACTGGGCTACCACTGCCTTATATCTCTCGTCTATACATATATCTACACAAATATAAAATTCTAACTGAGTCAAATGTGTACATTAAATATTTTTTGGAAAATCTAATTGAAATATGAGTATTATTAATGTAGAGACCGAATCTATAGTTTTTAGAATTTTTGTTTGACTGTGTGCTGATTGGACAGATTTTGATGAAATTTTGAATGATGAAAACTGGTTATCCGGGTCAATCAATATATAGGATAATTTTTACTGCGGTAAAATATCTCATCTCTGAGAAATCTATACTAAACGTTAAAACGTAACTAGGGACGAACTCGAGCGGAGCGAAGGTGAGTTTTAAATAAAACTATATTTTCTGATTTTTAGAGACATTTAAAATTTTTACAATCTGTTTATACAGGGTCATTTTTAATTTACTGAAACCTTTTGGGAATATACTATTTACATCATAACAACAACATCTGTAACAAGAAAAAGTAATATTTCTTAAATATTTTTTTTCATACAAGAATAAAAATATTTCTTTAGCACCTTCTAAACTTTAAAGTTCTAGCATCTGGCCAAGTTTAAATGAGTAAGCGCGGCTTCGTACACCCCTCCACCCCTCCTCCTCGACCGGACACGCACTTTCTTTTGCTAATGCTGGATTATTACCATTGAGAAGGTGCCATAAAAATACTTTTATTGTTGTTAAATTTAAGATATATTTTTTTTCTTACAGATGTTGTTGTTATGTTGTAAATAGTGTATTCCCAAAAGGTTTTCAGTAAATTAAAAATGACCCTGTATATAAGAGAATTTCGCCTTCAAGACGCTCTTACCGCGTCTCGTTACCCTTAGGGAATGTTTACATCCAATAGTTATGTTTGACGAAGAGTCACAAGTCACATCGAAGTAGCTTGGGTAATTTCCCTAAGTACCAGTAGCCTATATGTCACTCCAGGATATACGAGTAATACGACACGTTTGGCTCAGTTTGTAGTGACCCTACTTGCTATGCCAGCGGTCGCGGGTTCGAATCCCGCTGGGGGCATTCATTTATGCGATGAGCACGATTGTTTGTTCTCCAGTCATGGGTGTTTATATTTATAATATTTATAATATGTATGTATTTCAAGTTATATATGTATAGTGTATCAACTATCTGGTATCCATAACACAAGCCACGTAGCTTACCATGGAACTAGATGGTGGTGTGTTAATGTCCCAACATAAAAAAAAAAATAAAAAAAATATCTGTGTACTAAATGTCATCGGAATCCGTCCAGCCATTTTTCATACAAATAGGTACTAATACAAACTTTCGAAATGATATTAATAGTCAGGTTCGAATATACTTTTAAAAGTACTCAATTTTAATACTTTATTGAAATTAAATAAATAATTAAAATAAATAAATATGATGATGTTCTCCCGACCGATTCCGGCCACGGCGGCCAATCTCATTGAGACTAGCCAACTGCGCAGGAGATATTATAGTGCACAAGTGTACGCGCAGACACAAGTGCACTATCTATTCCTGTCACTCTCATATTCCGGTGGGACGACTGCTCGACACGACCAGTGAGAGTTAAGGCGCAGGACCGACGGCTTTACGTGCTCTCCGAGGCACGGGGGTGAAACACCGCCAACTTCCCAACTCCGGGCTGTTACTGAGGCTTACTTATACAGAAAGACTCAATAACTAAACTTGGTTCCGGGTGTGCAGCCGTACATGCTAGCCACTACACCACGCAGGCAGTTATATATAATAAATTTATTAGGATATTAACACACAGCATATATTAAAAGTTATTATTGAAGACCATCGCTTCAGAAAGCTACCATCGTTTCAGAAAGCTGTTCTGCTTAGAAGAGTTGAAGAAAAACTCAACAGTTGTTGATTTAAAAATTACATTGAAATTCTCGTTTTGTTGAGTAAATTTAAGAAATACACTCAAACGAAACTAGAGAAAATAAATTGTACTAAATGAGATAACCAAAAAAAATTATTGCCCATAAATGTACAAAGAAGATGGTATAGCTACATTTAAACGTAACGATCCGTATAAGAATTGAAATAAATGGTTTTTTTTTGTCTCAATGAAAGGGAAAGAAGGAAAACTGTAGAGTTACAAGCTTTATTTTTTTCTATTTATTTCAAAAAACTTTTTAAATAAGAACTTTAGCAAAATTCTTATTAAATTCGTCGTCGTGCGGAACCAAACATTAGTAATTGGTTTATGGTATATTCTTGTCTGTCCGACATGGCAATAATAAAAGCGTGTGTAATCTGTATATCTGTATATAAATATTATAAATGTAAAAGCTTGTGAGTATGTATGGATGTCTGCTACTCTTTCACGCCAGAACGGCTGAATGGATCCGAATGAAATTTGGCTCAGAGATAGATTATAGTCTGGAATAAAACATAGGCTACTTTTTATCCCGGAAAAATATACCGTTCCCGAGGGATAGATATTTTTTGTTTTTCTTAGTATTACAATAATTTGACCGCACTGCTTGAAAATAATTGTGAGAATGAATCCCTTATATGCATATCTTCGATATTTATCGAGTCGGTTCTTTTTTATTTATCCGAACTCTGTCACAAACTGACAATAAAATGTCATATTAATTATCTTTTTAAACTTTGATTACAACACGGCATATAATAAATTTGACACTTGAGACTTTAGTTTGAGACTTAGGTTTTCTGTATGTGCCTAATAGCAGCCTATGTATTACTCCAGGTCATATTGGTCCTAAGTCTCATCTAAATCCGTCCAGCGAACACAGCGTGCAGGAATAACAAACATACAGATACAAATAAACTTATATTTATATAGAAATCTGATGAGTTTATCATATCCTTATACTACAATTTTATTATCAACATAAATTTTAGTTACATGTAGGTAACTAAAAATTTTTCATCAGTCAATCGCTCACAAAGTAAAGCAGGTTTTGATAAGATAACAGTCTCGTAATTATAAAATTTACAAATACGAAGGAAAACGAATCGAACTAGTTTTCGAACAATGTGTTACGCATATTATATAGTGACTTCTATATAGAAATTTACAGAAATCACGAAACCGTATTTGACCAGACTATAATTTAATCCAATCTATGGGAATAGAAAGAAGGCATATGCCCAATTCAATAAAAGTAAGATGTTAAAAGGGCTGATAAAATCGAAAGCCAGTAGCTACTCTCTATTAAAATTGCATCTGATACAGTAGCAATTTAAGACAAGAACTGACATATTCGTTACTATTTTTACTATTGCTTGATGGAAATAATCCATATCATCATAAATCATCAGTTATCAATTATAATAACTTATATTTGTAACTATCGGAAATATTGCAAAATCACAACGCAGCTTACGTAGCGTAGTTTACTAACGAATATCATCTTAAAAATAAGCATGCATGGAGTCACAAAAAATATTTGGAAATCCGCCCAAACGTACAATGTAATAAATTTTTGAAAAACCTATTTTAATTTTGAGTGGGGCGAGGAAAGGAAAAATTGGGAACTAAATTCGAATAGCTTCTATATACAATAGCGTATTATTTTACAAGTATATCAAGATATATGTATCACCAGTTTTCGTTAATGCGATAGGTGTTTTATTTTAGGCAGCATTGAAATCGGCTTAACAAATGTTTTTCCACTACGTATATGGCTTCCTTATAAAATGTTTAATGTTTTTAACGATACAAATATAGAAACGGAAAAAATATATTTTTAGTAAGTATATTAAATTTTCATGGAAAAAAGAATCAATAAAAGTTTTTTTTTTATAAAAAACGAACAATCGATATGACGTTACCATTTTTTTCATTACGGGATTGAATGTCCTAATTACATCCTACTAATATTATAAATGTGAAAGGTTGTGAGTATGTATGGACGTATGGATGTTTGTTAGTCTTTCATGCAAAAACTACGAAATGGACTTTAAATAAAACTTTACAATAATATAGCTCATACATCAGAATAAATGCATAGGCTAATTTTTATCCCGGAAAAATGTACGTTTCCCCTGGGATAAATTTATTTTTGTTTTCCTAAAAGTGAACCCGAGCGAAGCGAGGGTAAACCGCTAGTAAATAATATATCCATGAGATTCAATGAACGATGACCAGAAGATTTTTATTTTCGTATAAATTTTGTTACGCTTTCATATTTTTATGAAAAAAAAAATCATATTTTAATACCATAAAAATTCAGATTTCCATAATTATATAAGAACACGTTATAAAATGCTAGGTTCTTAGATACAGAAGATTCTAGATGTAGACTCTATATGAAGACAGATCATGGAGCATCCGAGACGTCCAAGACCCGGTTGTCGTTTTCAAAACAAAAATGCTTGTAATGCTGAGTAACTCTTGTTAATAGCTCCAGCATAATATTATACCTTTTTAGAAACATGAATTAATTTAAAAAAAATTATAATAATATTAAATATTTTTTATCTTTTTAACAGTGATTTTGTTTGATTATTTTTTCTCCACAAACATATTGTGATGAAATTTCAAAATCCAACAAGTCCATGTCATGAAAGAGCATGGTTATTGGGTATCTCGGTCTATTAAGTGGATCCTGCACGATAACTTAATATTATATATGATATTTTATAAGTTTTAGGTTGCTATTTATATACTTACGTGAACAGAAGATAGAGCGGGAATCATGTTGGCGTCATCACCGCTTCTAGAACTTCTACTTCCCCGGTCAGAACTTTCATCCTCAGATTCTGAGTGAAAGGAACTGACAGATACGGATTGAGGATCACTGAGTTTCAATTTCAAACAATCACGACGCATTTTAAAGAACTTCGTATGTTTAAAACATAGTTTTTTGGTTTTTGTCTTTGGTTTGGTTTTGGGGACGTTTATTTTCATTTAATTTACACTAGCTTTACATTATCTGGAGATTTGACAATGTTACGATATATGGCGTCCTTTGCGTGATATTAATTAATTAAAAAAAAATCAATATAAAAAAAATGAAAATCGCATAAACTTAAATATTAATATTATTTTCCTGATAAAAAGAATCGTGCTAGCATAAACTGATAAGAAGATACAAAATTATTACTTAATAATATTATAGCATACTTATTTAACCAATAAACTGTATTTTTTCAACCGACTTCAAAAAGGAGGAGGTTCTCAATTCGACTGTATGTTTTTTTTTTTTTTTTTTATGTTTGTTACCTCAGAACTCCGTCATTTATTAACCGATTTGGACAATTTTTGTGTCGTTTGAAAGGGTATACTTCCAGATTAGTCCCATTTAAATTTCAAAAAAAAATACCACCCCTAAGGGTGGAAAAACTACTAATGATGAATTTAACCTACTTCTAATTGTCATATTGACTTGAAACTTTGCAAGTATTTCTATTTCCGTTGATAGTACAGTGGTTCGGTATTGTTGACCTGATCTGATGGCAAGGCCAGAAGGTGGATAGGTGGAACTCTTCAACGGCTAATAGTAGATACTTTGAGTTTGGGCTTATTTTGTTTGATTTGACAAGCCTAACACGTTAGAATCCTTACTTTTCTACTACTGTCTACACTAAAAAGGGAAAAATAAAAACTTTTTAACAAAAAATAAAAACCGACTTTAAACAAAAGCACTAAAAAGTAAAAATAACTGATTGGTAGTTTTCATTTACCATACATACCTAATCAAATATTTTCGAAGTCGGTGTTCTTTGGCTAAGTAATTAAAGCTTACCTATTAAATACATACCTAATCAAATATTTTCGAAATCGGTGCCAGCCCATACAAAGCAAAGCACACCGACTTCGAAAATATTTGATTAGGTATGTATGGTAAATGAAAACTACCAATCAGTTATTTTTTACTTTTTAGTGCTTTTGTTTGAAGTCGGTTTTTATTTTTTTGTTAAAAAGTTTTTATTATTGACTTTAATAAATGAGGTAACACAATCCTAATATATGTTTTTTTGTGTGTATGAATGTGTGTTGTTATTAATTTTGGCAATACACGCTAAGTAACATAACTAATCTTAATAATTAATAAAATTATAAGTAGCTGTAAAATAACGCACAGAAAAACTGTTGGGTCAGGAAGTATGATATTTGGCACTAGATTTTATTAAAATATTAATATTGAAATGCAAAAAATTAAAAAAAAATTAGTCTTTCTTATTTTTTAATAGACACTAAAGATGAATTTTCAAATTTAAAACGAATGTTTGCTTCATTTTCCAGACAAATCGCAGCTGGCAGTAAACCCATGTAACTAACTAAATACTTTTTGGTCGCCAAGTTAGTTCATCAATCAATATCAGCAAATTGATATCTAATTACACTGTTAAAGCATTATCCCTTCTGCTACAAGGTATTAAGGCTTATAATCTAATATATATGTTAGACATTACGTGGTGTTCATTATTCGCCTCGGTTGTCACGAACATAACCACCCAGACATAGGGTTTCCAAACATTTTGCAGGTAAACATGTTTGTCTTTCGTTTTATAATAAAATGAACATTTGTTCAGGCCGAATCTATAGTCTTCAGAATTTTTGTCTGTCTGTCTGTCTGTCTGTCAGTCTGTCTGTTTGGGAATGCATCACTATTTACTGCTTGCTGGTTATTCGGGTCAACATATAAGATACTTTTTATTGTTGGAAAATATCTCATCCCTGAGAAATCTATGGTAAACCTTAAACATATATACATGAGTGAGATTTAATAATAGATATAGTATTTGAATTCATTTTACTATTAATAAATTAATTTTCACGTAAGAAATATTTTATAATATAACTAGCGACTCACCCTCGGCCAGCTCGGGTTCGTCCCTAATGAAAATTTAGGTTTGTATATATTTTTAATGCCAAATTACAAAAATATTTAAATAAAAAAAATTGTCCTAAAAATAAAAATAAAACATTTTTTGTGGTGGACTACCCATACCACTTAGAGGTATGAAAAACAGTTTACGTCCTATTCTCAGACCTACTGAATATACACACAAAATTTCATAAGAATCGTCAAGCCGTTTCGGAGGAGTTTTGTTACAAACACTGTGGCACGAGCATTTTATATATTAGATTAATTGTAATTATTATAAAGAAAACCTAGGTCATTAATTATTATCATCTATATATTATTTCTACTGCGAGAAAACGTCTTTTCTGTAGGAAATCTATATTAAAGGTCAAAAGGTCACTAGTCAATTCTACTTATAAAAAATAAATGTTAGAGTAGGGTGAGTATTTTTTTATATATTTTATGGTTTTTTATCTAATAAAGTTTGAATTGAAGAAGAAGAATTCAAACCTGAATAGAATGGTAAACCTACCGTAACCTTATACTACTCGGACGAGACAGTTTGGGTCTTTGTGCGTTCGTTACTGACTTTATAAGAATCGCTTTTACTTTTTTTTATATAATAGATCCGTTATTTATTGTCTAATTAATATAACAACTTTTAATTATAACATTTAAAATCGAATTTATGTCGCAAAATATATTTATTCGTAAAAGCTAAATTTTGCAAGACTTATCTAATATATAAATATCTCGTGTCACGGTGTTTGTGGTCGCACTCCTCCGAAACGGCTCGACAGATTTTGATATTTTTTTGTATGTTTGGTAGGTACGAGAATACTAAACTTTTTTTTAATCGCGATTTTAGTATTTTTGCATAAACATATGAATAATATTGTATAAATATATAGCGACGAACCCGAGCAAAGCGAGGGTGAGTCTCTCCATAACATAAAGCCAAAGAATTTTTTTTGTACATTGAACGCGAGCGTAGCCGCGGGTTCTACTAGTAAAGTTATAAAAACTTATTTAGGTATATTAAAGATAGGTGATCTATAATTATCCATTACAATATATCGTGTCTCATTAACTATGTCCACTACATAGGAGTTAAAACAGCTTCAAACTTTCGTAAAATATTTGATATGACCCAAATCGTTTGTTTCTAGCGAGTTAAGTAATCTGTGCTCTATATCATTACATAATTAATATTGTTAATATTATAGTTAATATATAAGGATAACGTAAAAATACTAGTATTTTATGCTATTGTATGCTATATCTACGTATCTCTTTAAAAAAATAGAAAATAATATACAAAAGATCTTTTAGATTGAGAATAAATTCTTAAAATACACTGTAAAGTGAACATTCTAAAATTCATTCTTCGAAGCATGTCTTTCATTGCAGTATTTTAAGTTTTCAGATACAAAGAAGAATTCAACGTACTTAATTCTGAAGCAAATATGCTTTAGAATATGACAATACGTATTTTGTTTAAGATTTTATAAACATTGTAAAGTTTTCGTGGAATATTTTATTGAAAGATTAATATCATAAAGTTTAATTATAATATGACACATTTATCATATAAGACGATTAATTTTTAATTTTATTTTAAATAACCTTTAAGTACTTTGAAAAGGCTGGACCGATTTGGATGAAATTTAGCATACTGATAGATCAGGAGTAACACATAGGCTACTATTAGTAATAAAATTTGCTACTAGGTGGCGCTTCCTGTATATAATATAAATGCAAACAGCATCTAGGGATGAGCCCGAGAGAACGGGGATAAATCGCTGGTGAATGACAATTGAATTAAAATTTGTATAAAACCAAAGAAAATCCATGTCGCGATTCTGACACAATTTCGAAAACTATGAACGATTAACAGCATTAAATCGATTAACATTATATTTAGAATGTCCTTGCAGGTTTTATTGTAGGTACATTCACGTAATACGTTTCTTGATCATCGGTTTGGAATTCGTTGTTTATGTCAGCATGGTTCCGTCTTCCCGCTTATCGGCCTTCAGAGAAAACGATTTTCTTTCATGTGTTTCATTGTAAATTTTTTTATAAATTTAATACTGTCTACCGATTGTCAATTATATTTATGACCAGCATTGCCCGCGGCTCCATCCGCGTTCAAATGACCAAAAACCAAATTCTTAGGTTTTACATATTAGTAGGTATACTCTTTACATTGCAGTTTTTTTTCTCAGAAATGAGATATTTTCCCGCGGTAAAAAGTATCCTATATGTTGACCCAGATAACCAGCCATTATCATACTAAATTTCATCAAAATCTGTTCAGTGGTTTTCTCGTGATGCGGTAACAGACAGACAGACAGACAGACAAACAAAAATTCTAATAACTATAATTCGGCCTGCGTATCGATTATAATGACTATTTCAATAAGATTTTCCAAAAAATATTTAATATACAGATTCGACTGAGAATTTTATTATATGTATAGATTATGTAAAAAATATCGTTTTTAGCTCTTACATCATATTAGTAAAGATCTTCATCTAATAATGCATAAAAAGTTAAAATATATTAAAATAATCTACTGATTACCAATTTTTATTCTACTAAAGGTCTAAAACTTTAACAATTGCTATAAAAACCGATAAGAGATAAGATACCGAAGAAAAAAAATCGAAATTAAACTCCTAAGGCGTTAAAAATAACAATAAGACATAAATATAACGATAAAATCCATTTCAATCGACATCTGATAAAACGTTTAAAAAATAAATATGTACACACGGAACCTAAAAGCATGAAACCGAAAAAAACAGGTTTAATAAATCATTCGACTCCATACCTAAAGTATTAGGACAAATATATTTTTTCTTCAACCGATGTGTTTTATGTCTGCCACTGAAGAGATTCCATTGATTTCAACCTTCAGTAAAAGCAGTCGTAAACAATGTCGAGCCATCGATCAGCTTACATTTCAATTAATTCAAGTGTTTTAGTAAAGTTTATTGCTTTAAAGATTTGAGC